GTTTAACCATTTACTTGTTGAGTGACATCTAGGTGTTTCCAGTTTGGGGCTATTATAAATAGAGCTTCTATGACCATTGTGTTCCGGGTCATGTATGAACATGAGTTTTCATTTCTCTGGGACAAATACCCAAAAGTATATTACAGGGTCCTGTGGTAATTATGAGCCTAGTTTTATAGAAACCTAAATTTTTTTTTTTTTTTTTTTTGAGTTGGAGTCTCACTCTGTTGCCCAGACTGGAGTGCAGTGGCCGCTCCCGGCCACCACAGCCTCGACCTGCTGGGCTCCAGCGATCCTTCCGCCTCAGCCTTCCGTGTAGCTGGAACTACAGGCATGTGCTACCACATGCTAGTTTTTTGATTTATTGTAGAGATGAGGTCTCATCAAGTTGCCCAGGCGGGTCTCGAACCCGCGGGCTCAGGCAATTCACTCACCTCAGCCTCCCAAGGCGCGGGATTACAGGCTGACCCACCAAGCCTGGCTGAAACTTAAATATTTTTAAGAACCTAACTGTTTTCCAGAGTGGCTGTACCTGTTTTATAATTTCAAGGAAAGGACTTTGCTGGCATAGGGCAAGTATCTAGTGGAGGGAATAAGTGTGAAAGTCATTGCAAGGTCATGTCACACCAAGGTGTTCTATGCTATCGGGCTGCAGCCTGGGCTTAGCTCAGGAGGGGACACAGGCTTATTCCTCATTCATTCAGATGGAAAGTATTTCCTGAGCTCTCACACATGCCAGATGCTATTCTAGACACCCTGAAGGCACTACCTTCACAGACCTGTGGCCCGCAGAAAGAATAGAGGTATCCAGTGTGCGATGGGGGAAGGGATGTCTTGGGAGGTTGTGATGGGGCATTTGTAGGCCCCAGGTACTTTCCGCAGAGCAGGGACCATGTCCATCTCATTCTCCCCCAGACCCCAGCACATAGTAGGCAGTCAATATGTCTTTGTTAAATGTTGAATGAGTAACCCAATCCAGCAATCACAGCCTCTGTGAGTGTGACCTGGCCATTGCCTCTGTAAGCAGCTGCATGTCCCAGTCCCGCCATGTGGGTAAAAGAGCAAAGGTGTGGTCCAGACACCCCACCCTGGAGTGAATTATCGCACCACAGATTGGAGCCAGCATGACATATAAAAGGTCGGAATGCTCTACTATAAATTTTTAATTGTTAAGCAAGGCGGGTTGTAAATTCCGCGTGGCGGGACAGTGTTGCATATTGTGCCTGTTGCCACCACCTGGGTTTCTTATCAGCCTGTTGGTATTTCACAACCTCTTGGACTTCTTGCATGTTGCAGGGGTCTCTGGGGCATGGAACAACACCATCCTTTTTTCTGTGGGGGTGGCAGCCAGGCTCTCTGTGTGTCCTCTGACTTTCCCTCATTCCATCTCCTGCCTAGATTTTCTCCAAAGGAGCATCCGGTGCTCGCCCTGCCAGGGGCTCCAGCCCAGTTCCCTGTCCTAGAGGAGCACAGGCCGCTACAGAAGTACATGGTGTGGTCAGATGAGATGGTGAGGATGGGAGAGGCCCAGATCCACGCCCACCTCACCCGACCCTATGTGGGCATCCATCTGCGCATTGGCTCCGACTGGGTAACTTCCCTTCTACTCCCAGGCCCCTGCACAGGGCCCATACCTGTAGGGGTTGGCCCCAGGTTCCAACCAGAGCAGAGGGTGCTCACTGGGTCAGTCCATGGGGTTGTGTCCCCGATAGGCCACAACACACATCGGAATGTGACTCCACAGTGCTTGCCGGCCAGCTCTCAGTTAACAGCTGCCATTTTATCCTCATTTTGCAGATGGACAAACTGAGATATCTAGCCAGACCCCAGGTCAGGCAGTCAGAGAGAGGCCCACAGCCCAGAGTTCTCTGTCTCAGCTCAGTGTGACTGGTCGACTTCTTGTTGAAAACAAACTATGGAGATTGGGTGTGACTTCCAAGAAGTGAAGATGTCATCCTCCCAGAATCTGGAGGCAGTTTAAATGTGCAAGGCCTCATCAGATGGGGTTTTCACCTCTGTGTGAAAATAACAGAACCAGTAAAACAGTATCCTTAATTTACTGAAGAAGACTTATAGGTATGTTAGAAGTGCTTGTTGCTGAAAACTTGAAAAGTACTGAAATTAAAATTCACGTACAGTCAATTGATGAGTGTTCTCACTTTTACCACTAGACTCTCCCACTTCTCCACTTCCATAAGAAAAGGAGCCAGGCCCAGGATACTGTACAAGTGGTTTCAGCCACACATGCAAGGAAGAAGTCATTCTAATCTATACTTTCCTAGAACATCAAGAGAGATGAGTTGCTATTTTCTATAAAGCTAGCATAACCCTAATACCAAATTCAGGTAAGGTCAGCCCAGAAAATTATAGCACTGATCCTAAGTAAAATATTAGCAAGTAAAACCCGATAACATATTAAAGAACATATAGCACAAACAAGTAAAATCTATCCCAAGAATGTGATGAAATTCACTATATTAATACCGAAAGAAGAAAATATCATAAGTACGATCATCTCAATGGAGACCAAGAAAGAATTTGATAGAAGGCAGCAACCCATTTATAATAAAAACACATAACCAACCAGGCATAGGATGGACCCACCTTAATGTGATAAAAGCTATCTCTCTGAAACCCACAGCAAATGGCATGCCTCACAGGAGCCTAGAAGTGTTCCCACTGAAGCCTAGAATCAGATAAGGTTGTCTGTGATCACCACTGCTATTCAGAATTCTGCAGTAGACGTCCCAGATAATGCAGCTAGGCCAAGAAAAGAAAACCACCCAGAAATAACCAGTTGCTGTTTTGATGCATTTCCCTCTTCCCTCATTTTTTTTTTTTTTTTTGAGTTGGATTCTCACCCAGGCTGGAGTACAGGGGCACACTCACAGCACCCCTGTGTCGACCTACTGGGCTCTGGCGATCCTTCTGCCTCAGCCTTCCAAGTAGCTGGAACTACAGGCACGTGCTACTATGCCCGGCTAATTTTTTGATTTATTGTAGAGACGAGATCTCGCCAAGTTGCCCGGGCTGGTCTCAAACCCGTGGGCTCAGGCGTTCCACTTACCTCAGCCTCCTAAAATGCTGCAATTACAAGCTAAGCCACAGAGCCCAGCCTCATTTTTTTTTTTTAACATAGTTGGACTCCTCCTCTATACACTGTCTTTTCCACTTACCAATTCTTGCTCTTGGAGCTCCAGGACAGTTGCTGGTATTTAACCTTGTCCCCGCCTCCTGCAGAGGAATGCCTGTGCCATGCTGAAGGACGGAACTGCGGGCTCACACTTCATGGCCTCTCCGCAGTGTGTGGGCTACAGCCGCAGCACGGCAGCGCCACTCACCATGACCATGTGCCTGCCTGACCTGAAGGAGATCCAGCGGGCTGTGAAGCTCTGGGTGAGGGCTCTGGACGCCCGGTCAGTCTACGTTGCCACCGATTCCGAGAGTTACGTGCCTGAGCTCCAACAGCTCTTCCAAGGGCAGGTATGTGTGGGGGGCAGGCCGGCCCCACTGCTCCCACTGCATGCTTCATGGGCTCCTGCCTCTGGCGTGGGCACACATCTCTTCTCCAGCTCCTACCTGTCTTCAGACACTTCTTGGCAGTCTTGCCAGTGTTTCCTTTACTCCTGCAGCTCACGTGTACCTTCTGCAAGCATCACAACCCTGCATCACTTCTTCTCTTGGGCCACTTTCTAGATAGCATGAGGCTAGAGTAGAAACATGTCTTTTTTCCTCCCAGGAGTTGTGGGCTCCTTGAAGGCAGGACCCCAGGAGGAATCACTGTTCTAGTCCTTGATGTTTTGCCTGGCACCCTGACCTCTTTGGGTGCTGAGACCCTGCCTTACCATCACCAGTGTCTAAGACAGTGCCTGTCCTGCTTAGCAGACAGCAAGTGTGTTGGACAAAGATGTAAAGAATGGGCCCTAGGGAGAGATGCAGCATAGTGGAGGAGTTAATAGCATATACTCGAGTGAGAGAACTTAGGTTCTGCTTACTGTACAACCTTGCAAAAGTTATTTGACCTCTCTGTGCTTGTTTCCTTATCTCTAAAATGGTACTGAATAGTATCTATCATATAGGGTGATTGTGAAGATTAGGTATAAAGAAATTAAAACAGTTCCCACTACGGAAATAACTACTCAGTGAAATTAGTGATTATCCGTAAGTAGAAATAGGCGGTTGATGAAAAAACGGAGGATCTTTTGTGCTTAGTAAGTGCTTGAAGATGCTATGGAGAGTGGGTGTTCAAGACCTGAACGGTAGGCTGTTTTTGGTCAGTCCTTACTTTATCAGTGAAGAGTCGGTCATGAGTGAGTGTGTATCGATGAAATGACTGAATTAATAGCGTTTAGTAAGACTTTGTTGAATGAATGAAAACTGTAAACACTGTGTACACCTCTTAGGTAAACACTGGGTGCCACTGGATTGATGTTGAGGGGCTCCCTTTTCTCTCTTACCCAGACACAGGCAGGAATCTCCAGCTTAGAGAGGAAGTGCTGAGCCAGTGCAGTGTGGTCTCCTATCTGTCCGTTTAACAAATAGAAAATCAAAGCTGGGAAACCTCTGGGGTCCTCTGACCCAACCCCTCCACCCTTATTTGAAGAAGAAACCAAAGTCCCAAGAAAGGGTAGAATTTACACAAGAGATCCCAGAGCTAATTATAGTGGGCATGACACAGAATGGGTAAGTTTCAGGGCATGAGTGGAATTGTTTGGGGGATTTTGACCATGATTAGACAGGTATTATTTCTTTGCTACAATCCAAATAACAAGATGACGGTCTTCGTTGCCTCAGAAGTCTCTGTGGGACAGTACACACTTTCAGCCCCACCTCTGCCCACACTTCCCACTCGCATGCCTCTGTACTAGACTGAAACAGTGGAGAGTCCCAGGGAGTTTTTCTGCATTTCTGGAGTCGTGTTCTTGTTACACCATGAGCCTCTTGCCCTTTCCGTTTCCTGTGCTGTGCCATCTTCTCGCCCCTCCCCACTTCCTCAGCTCTGAACTAGGCCTCGCTCTTTGGTTAAGCAGATCAGTGCTGAGTTGGGGTCACCAATACCTAAGATGTGGTCCTGCCTTCCAAGGCTCACATTCTAGACCCAGGGACAGACACTTTGTAGACAACTCTCACATGTGCCACAAGATAGGCTTGGAAGCTTGATGGGGAGACGGGCAGGTTCATTCACTCACTGTCCCTGTGACAGATGTTTACTGGGCTGGGCTCTGTGCCAGGCCTAGCCAGCAGTAGAGAACAAGCTGACACAACTCCAGGCACAGGCAGGTGCAGGAGATCGTGTTAACCAGAGCATCTGAAGAGTGGAAACCAGAAACTGAGATGGTTGCTCTCAAGGAGAGCTCTGGGGTTCTGTAGGAGTGCAGAGCTAGGGGCCGGGGAGGCTTCCCCAAGGAGGTGCCCTGTAGCTAGGAATGAGGAGAAGTAAGAGTGAGCCAGTCTAGAGAGGTGCTCTCCAAACAGAGCACATGCACAGCACATACAAAGGTCCTGAGGAGGGCAGGAGCCTGGTGGGTCGTGGCTAGAACTCAAGGGATGATGGGAAAGGTATACAAGGAGCTTTGAGCAGGGCCTCATAGGCTACATTCACGATTTGTCACCTTATCTGAAAGGCAGTAGGGCACCATTGAAAAGCGTGCTCAGCTTGAGGGGCGGGAAGGACAGGGCTGGAGATATGTCAAAACGTTTTCTCCGGCTGCTGCATGGTGAGCTGACCAAGAGAGACAGCAAGAGATGGTGGTGACTGGGACCAGGGAGTGGTAGTCCTTCCAGAGAAAGGTTCACCTCTGGGGACTACCACGGGTCTTACATTGGGGCATGTGGGAGAAGAAGGTATCCAGCAGCAGAAGCAAATGGGTTTGGCACTGTTGACCCCATCTCTGGTTGAATGAATGAGTCCGTCCATCTCTGGTTGAATGAGTGAGGCTAGGGCTTCAAGAGAAATGTAGAACTGCAGCTGAGCCTTCAGAGTTTGGTCAGGCTGGGTGAGGGGGTGGCTTGCATCTGTAACTCCAGCTACTCAGGAGGCCGAGATGAGAGGCTACCTTGAGCCCAGGAGTTCAGGACAGCCTGGGCAACATAGCGAGACCCCTCCCCAAAAATAAGAGTAAGGTCAGAATTTTAATGGGTGGGGGACTGGCATTCCAGGCAGAGGTAACATCACACAAAGCCATAGAGGTGTGAATGGTGCATTTGGAGTGGAGGTGCTGGGGGTGGGCCTAGGCACAGCTGGGCAGCATGTCTCCCTGATGCCCAGCCCCACTCTTCATCCTCTGTGCTCCTCTTGTGTCTGTACTTTAGCCCAGGGAAGAAGCCTGGGATGTGGATCGTGGGCCTTGGCGGAGCCCGCTTCCTTGGCCTGCAGCCACTCCAGCTGACACAGGCTTCCTTCCCTCCTGCAGGTGAAGGTGGTAAGCCTGAAACCCGAGGTGGCCCAGGTCGACCTGTACATCCTTGGCCAAGCCCACCACTTCATTGGCAACTGTGTCTCTTCTTTCACCGCCTTTGTGAAGCGGGAGCGGGACCTCCAGGGGAGGCCGTCCTCTTTCTTTGGCATGGACAGGCCCCCTCAGCTGCGAGACGAGTTCTGATCCTGTTTGGAGCATTTCACCAGGCTGAGCTGAGCTCTCCAGCTAGGCCCGGCAGCCAGAGGTGCTTCCCAGATTACAGGCTCCTCTCTCGGCTGCTAGAGATGGGGGAAAGTGCCGGGGACTTCCTAGAGGGGAGAGATGTGCCTTCTCCAATGCAGAGGATTCCAGGCTCTTGGGGGCTAGAGCGTCTCCCCGTCCACGTGCTTCCTGCGCTCTCTCCAGGGACTTGCTCTCATCAGCAAGCAGCCTGGCCTCTTCTGTCAGTCTTTCCTGCTCTGAGCAGCCTGGGATGCTGAACTCTCCAAAGAGATTTTTTTATAGAGAGTTTTTTATAGTTTTTATACAAGGTCGTGACTACCCAAGGATTCTCCCTCATTTTAAAGAATTGTTGAATTCCATTAACGTTCACCTAAAGTGACCTTAACTGCATGTGAATGAGACCCAGGCTGGGGTGGTCCGTTGGCCCCTTTTCCAGATGTCCCCTAAAGTGGCTCAAGACCCATCCCCACTGCCTGGCCAGAGCCATCGATGTTTCCCCTTCCCCCTCACTTCTTAGGTCATGTCCAGGCTTTGGGCTATGAGCATGCCTCCGTTGTAAACACTGTGCACATGGAAGTTGTCTGTCGTGGGTCCTGCAGTGCTTCCAGGGCAGCTAAGTGCTGCTCACAGTGTGCCCAGAAGGGAGAACATGTCATTTAGCCAGGTGGTCACAGTACTGCTCCCAGGGTCTTTTGGGGGTTGGTGGCTGCAGCAAACCTGGCCCCATCAGGGTCTCAGGATGTATGACAGGGAATCAGGGCACACTGGCCTGGCAGGAGCCCCTGGAAGCGGCTCTCTCCCCTTCTTATCTCTTGCCCCAAGGGACCTGGGTGGTGGAATTTTTGTATGAGGTGGTGTCCACAGCCTGTCCTCCCAGCCTCCCTCCAGCAGCTGGAGCCTCAGATCACATTCCCACAAGCGAGTGCTTCCTAAGCCTTTCCACCACACACAGAAGGTGCCAGGACCCAGGAGCCACTGGAATTCCCAGTTTGGAGACAGCCTTCGCCTGTCCCTTCTGATGAAGCTCTGCCGACACTGTGAGGCCTACGGTGTTACAGTCTGGGGTTTCTTGGTCTCTCAGATGCTGCCATTTTAATAACCCACGACTCCCGAGCACCCATGGTCTTTCCCCAGCAGAGCTTGTTTCTGTCATGTTACCTCCCTCAGGCTTTAATCCTGAAAAGGTAGCAGGAGCTTCCTGATTACCTTTGGGAAGAAATGCTTTTTTGTCAGGGGCAGACTGGGGTAGAGGTCAGAGGTCACAAGGCATTGAGGATCTGAAACACCAAAGTCACTTGCTGCTTAGAGCCACCACCCAACTCCAAGGGGAAGAAGCTCTACAGAAAGGGCGGTTTTCCCTCTTGGGAGCAGTGACATGTCTTAAAGCAGGTGGACTGTGAGAAGTGGTTTACCGTCCAGACTTGCTCTCGAGCCCCATCCGGAAGGAGGCTGCAAACCTGGAAGTGTGACCTCCGTCAGGCATTGTGAGTGTGCAACTTGCTGCTGACTTCATTCCCGAATTCCTTTGCCATCCACGGCCTTGCACTGGACTCATGCTTTCAAGTCAGCTCCAGGGGGCACCCAGACCACCTTGATTAGCATCAGCATAGTAGTAGCTTGTGTTCTGGAAGAAGGGCACCGGGTTCCAATCAGATTCAGTTGTGCTTTCGGCAAGTTGCTTACCCCAACCCAGTTTCTTCCCCTGTAAAAGGGCGGCAAACTAGCAGGTTGTTGAAAGGCCAAAGTCAGCTAAAGCCTATATATGAGAAAGCACTGCAGATTTGAAAGAGACCAAGTCGCATGTGCGGCTGCTGATGAACTTGACCGCCCCTCCCTGTGTGCCGGAGCTGTGCTTGCCAGATGCTTCATGAGCATTCTCTTAATCCCCACCCAGCCCCGTGGAGGAAGAGCTGTTCTTATCCTCTTTCTGCACAAGGAAAAATCAGTGCTCAGAGAATTCACATAATTTCCCCAAGGCCGCCCAGCTGGTGGCAAGCCAGGCCTTGACCTCCCAAAGCCAGTCAGCCGTCCTGCTCTGCTGCCTCCAGGTCACAGATGCACTTCACACCCTGCATGCTGGGGAACCCTCCAGGGTAAGAGTGACCCGTTACCTTCCACCTGGCACTTGCTGTGGGTGGTCCATGGCCAGGAGGTTTCTGGAGGAGGAAGACATCCAGGAAACTGCCAGCTTGAAGCTTACAGTCCCCTTATAGTTATTTAGTACAACAATTTTCACTCAACAGGTGGGTATTGATCACCTACTGTGTGCTAGGGATGCAGCAGAGAATCAAAGTCTTTGTCTTCGAGGAATTTGCATTCTAGAAAGTAGATATAATCAAATATAGTATAGGAGGTATTGACAAGAGCTTCGAAGAAAAAAACAAAGGGTAGGCCGGGTGGGCCGGTGGCTCAAGCCTGTAATCCCAGCACTTTGGGAAGCTGAGGTGAGAGGACTGCCAGAGCTCAGGGGTTCGAAACCAGCCTGGCAACTTGGCGAGACCTCGTCTCTACAGTAAATCAAAACATAAGCCGGGCATGGTAGCTCACGCCTGTAGTTCCAGCAGGTCGAGGCTGTAGTGGCTGTGAGCATGCCACTGCACTCCAGCCTGGGCAACAGAGTGAGAGTCTGACTCAAAAAAAGAAAAAGGGTATGGGGTGCAGTGGGCAAGGGTGTCCTATTTTAGATAAGGAGCTCAGGCCGGGCCTCTCTGAAGAGCTGCCCTGAGGGAGGGAGCACGTTTCTAGCCAAGGAAACAGCATGTACAAAGGCCCTGAGGCTGGAGAGCAGCAAGGGAGCCAGAAGGGCTAGGGCGGCAGATGTGAGGCAGAGAGCAGGGCAGCTGACAGAGAGTATAAGGTGACACCCCTACATGACTTTTAGTTGGAAAGTTACAGAAAGTCTTCCTAGGGTTCCAAACAGAAGAGGGTCTGGTCTGATGTATACTTCTGAAGGACCCCTCTAGCTGAGAGGAGGTTGGGGAAAGGCAGGTGGAAGCTGGGCTGTGCAGGTGGCACCGGAATTGCCTGGACTCGAACTGCAGTGTCCACTTCCCCCAGAAGGCAGAGGCATTAAAGAGCTGAAATGATCGGGGTTCTGGGTGGCTACAATTGCTTTTAAATTTCTTTTTTAAAGTATAAATCTTTGCATAGTTGTAATCATGCAGTATGTAAAATTCAGTGTCCTGTTTTTTAAAAAATTTGATAGTATATCCTATTTTCCCTGTTGGTACATAGCCTAAATAAATGTTTTTAATTATATCAAATTCTATTGAGTGTCCATGGCTCATCATTTTCCTATTATGAGAACTTAATGTGCTCCCAAATTATCACTATTGTTATTTGAAAAATATTTTCATTTGTGAGGGTTTTTTTAATTTAAAATATTTATCAAGATAAATTCCCAGAAGTGAAATTGTTGGATCAAAGATTTAAATCTTTTATCATGGAAAAATTTAAATATACATAAAAATTGTGAGTAATAAAATGAATCATAGTTTCAACAAATATTAACATTTTAGCAATTTAGTTTTATTTAGTCTCCCACTCCTAAGTCTGTTAGTTTGCTCAAGTCTTAAAAGAAAATCTGAATAAGCCAGGCCACAGTGGCTCACACCTGTAATCTCAGCTATTTGAGAGGCTGAGGTGGAAGGATTGTGGAGTTTGAGACCAACCTGGGCAACATAGTGAGACCCCATCTACAAAAAAAACTTAAAAATTAGCAGGGTATGGAGGTGCATACCTGTCGACCCAGTTAACTCAGGAGGCTGAAGCGGGAGGATCACTTGAGCACAGAAAGTCAGGGCTGCAGTGAGCTGTGGGCCCACCTCTGCACTCCAGCCTGGGCAACAGATAAGACCTTGTCTCTAAAATAAATAAGATCTAAATACATTTTGAAGGAAGAGCCACACACTGAGTAGGGGTGGGAGGGAAAGAGGAGTCCAGGATACGCCAAGGTTCAGGGTGCAAGAATGAGAAGAAGTTGCCCCTGACTCGCAGGGTGACCTTCCCCTCCCTGTCCTTCACCTCCGCGTTACAGGTGCTAAGAGTGTTCTCAGAGGGTGGTCTCCAGAGGTTCTTTGGAGTGCTGTTTGATAAGGCAGATTCCTGGGAGCCACCCCAGACCTGAAGAATCGGAATGTGCCCAGGAATCTTCATTGTCACATGCACCTATATGTGATCTTGATGCCCAGTGGCCTACAATCTGCTTAAATTGCACAGAGTCCTGGGTCCCAGCCCAGACCTGCAGGATCAGGACTCGGGATGCTGCCTAGGACTCTGTCTTCACAGAACTCCAGGACACTGACCTAAAGGAAGTGGAGAGTTTGTTATGGCCAGCCGGCAGGCAGTGCTGGGAGACCCCTGCTGCCCCTGCCTGGGATGCCTTGCCGGCTCCACCAGGAGTGGCCAACCAGATGACTTTGGGAGGTACCTGAGGCTTGGTGTATATTGATTTATGTCTCCTGTTATGTATGGGGGCTATAGAACTAGATTTCCAAACATTTCATTGTTTTAGGATGAGACTAAGCACATAAAAGGAATTAATTAAATTTTTAAAAAATTAAGTAACTACTAGTAGAGATGAGTTGTGGATTTGGCAGAAATGGGTAGGTTGGTGTTGAAAGACACCAAAGCAGGGCAACCCCCTTGGGTCCCCTCACACTGCGGGAGCTTTCCCGTCCTCTCAATAAATCCTACTTTAAAAAGAAAGGAAAGAGAGAAGGAACGAACCAAAGCTGAGACCAGGCATAGTGTCTCATACCTGTAATCCCAGCACTTTGGAAGGCCAAGACAGGAGGATGGCTTGAGCCCAAGAGTTGGAGACCTGCATGGGCAACATAGTGAGACCCTGTCTCTACAAAAAATAAAAAATTAAGCCGGGCTCGGTGGCTCAGCCTGTAATGCCATGCCTTTGGGAGGCTGAGGTGAGTGGATTGTCTGAGCCTGCGGGTTCGAGACCCGCC